GACTATGTCATCCATACCGTGTGCCGTGCTGTGCATTACATCCATACCGTGCTGACTATGTCATCCATACCGTGTGCCGTGCTGTGCATTACATCCATACCGTGCTGACTATGTCATCCATACCGTGTGCCGTGCTGTGCATTACATCCATACCGTACTGACTATGTCATCCATACCGTGTGCCGTGTTGTGCATTACATCCATGCCGTGTAAAGTGTTGTGCATCACATCCATACCGTGCTGACTATGTCATCCATCCCGTGTGTCGTGTTGTGCATTACATCCATACCATATTGAGCATGTCATCTATACCGTGTAACGTGTTGTGTATAGCAATTATCAGTTTCGTATAGTGCACGGTGTCATTACAAATAGCAAACAATAATTAACACGGTATTCACATGATAAAAGTTCAGTACCGTGCAATACACGATATTCTTATTACATATAGTACAATGCATTTTTTCAGTAAAGCCATTACAATATTAGCATCATGATTAAATGTCGTGCAATGTATAGCATTATCTTCACACGGAGTATAATTCACGGTAGTTATGCGAGTTGACGGTATCATTTCCTGTTACCGTATACTTATGCCCGGTATTTCGCTCTGAAACCGTGTATATATAGAACGGTCGCTTCACTATATAGAGATATGGTAGTTTCACTAGAGATATGGTAGTTTCGCTAGAGATATGGTAGTTTCACTATATAGAGATATAGGAATTTCAGTAGAGATTTGGTATTTTCAATAGAGATATGGTAGTTTCACTAGAGATATGATAGTTTCACTGGAGACATGGCAGTTTCATTAGAGAATGATAGTTTCACTAGAGATATGGTAGTTTCACTATAGAGATATGGTATTTTCACTAGAGACATGGCAGTTTCACTAGGATCGAGACATGGTAGTTTCACTAGATTCGGCATTTGCCGAATCAATCAATTTGCCGTTTTGCGTTTGAACTGCAGGTCTACATCTCTGTGTTTGTTTATTGTTCACATCTGATTGAACCAATTATACGCCTTTTCAACTTAGAGCCATCCCCCATATTTTACTTCTAAGGCAAAAATATTTTTGTCGAAATGATGTTTAAGGTTTTTATCCAGACATAACAAATCCCGATCTCCTCTGGACATATCTTATATTATGATAGCTAACATTAAAATTTATTGTCATGCATCCAGAGTGGACGTCTTAGTAAATATTTTTAGGGTAATTTAATAACAGTTTGACCATTTATTGATGCCTCAATGTACGTAGACTTATAGTTTACATTATTTTAATGCTGAATGTTCTGTTCATGGTCGCCAGGATGTACTTCTTCGACTTCCAGAGAGATGAGATAAGATAACATCCTTTAATAAATTCATGACGGATTACAGACGTTAATAGGTATTGCAGATCTATTAAGAATGATGAATTACAGATCATTTAAACTACTGACGAATTCCAAGATCATTACGGATTACAGACTTGAAACAAAAGTCAAGACGGATTACAGACTTGAAACAAAAGTCGTGACGGATTGCAGACTTGGAACGAAAGGCATGACGGATTACAGACTTGAAACAAAAGTCAAGACGGATTACAGCTGTCTCTTATACACATCTAGATGTGTATAAGAGACAGGATCCATACCGTGCGCCGTGCTGTGCATTACATCCATACCGTGCTGACTATGTCATCCATACCGTGCGCCGTGCTGTGCATTACATCCATACCGTGCTGACTATGTCATCCATACCGTGCGCCGTGCTGTGCATTATATCCATACCGTGCTGACTATGTCATCCATACCGTGTGCCGTGTTGTGCATTACATCCATGCCGTGTAAAGTGTTGTGCATCACATCCATACCGTGCTGACTATGTCATCCACACCGTGTGTCGTGTTGTGCATTACATCCATACCATATTGAGCATGTCATCTATACCGTGTAACGTGTTGTGTATAGCAATTATCAGTTTCGTATAGTGCACGGTGTCATGAAAAATAGCAAACAATAACACGGTATTTACATGATAAAAGTTCAATACCGTGCAATACACGATATTCTTATTACATATAGTACAATGCATTTTTTCAGTAAACCCATTACAATATTAGCATCATGATTAAATGTCGTGTAATGAGTAGCATTATCTTCACACGTAGTATAATGCACGGTAGTTATGCGAGTTGACGATATTATTTCCTGTTACCGTATACTTATGCCCGGTATTTTGCTCTGAAACCGTGTATATATAGAACGGTCGCTTCACTAGAGATATGGTATAGTTTCACTAGAGATATGGTATTTTCACTAGAGATATGGTATTTTCACTAGAGACATGGCAGTTTCACTAGAGATATGGGAGTTTCACAAGAGATATGGTATTTTCACTAGAGACATGGCAGTTTCACTAGAGATATGGGAGTTTCACTAGAGACATGGCAGTTTCACTAGAGACATGGCAGTTTCACTAGAGATATGGGAGTTTCACAATATATATGGTATTTTCACTAGAGACATGGCAGTTTCACTAGAGATATGGGAGTTTCACAATAGATATGGTATTTTCACTAGAGACATCGCAGTTTCACTAGGATCGAGATATGGTAGTTTCACTAGATTCGTCATTTGCCGAATCAATCAATTTGTCGTTTTGCG